CATTCTTGTAATGATTTAAAATCATCTAGAACTTCTTTCTCTCTCTACCTAATAGTGACCAAGTCCTATTCTCAAAATTCCTTTCAGATGCATCTTTTCAGTTTTATTCCATTGTAATTCAGCATAATACTAATAGTTACCATTGCCTACCCTCAGCATTACTTAAGGAAAGAATGCAAAGGATAGGTGTTATCACTTAAATTCCCTTGAGGATTTCCCTACCCTAAATGTTTCTAACCTCATAGCCATTTTAATGTCTTGTACACTTTCTTTAAATAGCAGAGTGTTGGGCCCTCCCAGGTGGCGCAGCGGGTTAAAGCACAGCACAAAGAAGCTTAGACCACTTCCGCATGAGTTCCATTCCCGCCTGCCCCAGAGGTGATGCACATGGCGAGGCAGACCTCTCCTGACCCTCCCGCTGCTCCCCTCAGCGGTGTACTTTGTCGATCTGCCTGTTCTGTACCCCACTCTGTCTCTGGTGAATCCTCTCACCCTCCGCATCTCTGCCCTGTACCCCAGTTCTGTATGAATAAATAAATAAATCTTTAAAAAAATATATCAGAGTGTCTAATCCCTACAGGCAGACATAATTATTTATTTAACCTAGGAGAGGCAGAGGGAGAGAAAAGGAAGTTGCTTGAGTTAAAGGTCATCAAGGACATCAGTAAAACTGAAACAGAGAGTGACACAAAAACAAATTTACAAACTACCCAAAATTTATTTACTGTCAATCGTTTGTGGTCAAATAAAAGGTGTGACAAAACTTATCTTTGTCCCGGGCAACCGCACATGTGAGCCACTTAAGGGCAATTTGGACAACCACTGTATCTTATGACCCAGGTCAACTTTGCTGCACACAATTAGTTAGTTATTTGGGGGTTCTAAGAGTACAGCTGCTTTACCTACATAGGACCTTTGTTCTATATGACGCTAATGATAACACCGCTTGCTTGATTAAGCTGAATTCTGGAAATCACTTCCATCCCAAGTCAACTCAAATCAACAGTGCAAGGGACTAGAGACAGGATAAGGTCTCCCCACTAAAGCGTTATAAAGTGCCTCTTTGAACATTTGTTAATATGTCATCACTTGATCAGTCACAAATTATTTCACCATAAACAGTAACATCTTTTCTGTGTGCCATTAGAAGTGATTAAAATTTTCCAGAGTTTCAATACTCAAGCAAGCAGAAAAATGGATAGGATCCACATTCTCTGGACAACTCCCTTCGTCTTATCGTTGTTGCAAGTTATGCTATATTGATACCACCAACCATAATAGCAGTTAAAATTTATTGAAAAATTCTTCTGTGCCAGGTAGTAAGCTTTACATATACTAATATTTAACTTAATCCCCGAGTATGAAGACAGAATCCATGCTTTTTCACATGCATCCTCCGGAACAGCACAGACAACAGGATGTTGAATGGCAAATAGTTATAAAAAGAGTGAGAATAATGGGAACAATCCCTACAGTGTCATCTTTAGGAAATCCAGTATGGGGTTTTTGTTTTAGAAATTTACATTTGTATTGAAGTAACTTTGGTTTGCAACACTGTATGTTTTTAGGGTATTTTTTTATCAAGTATGCTTTCACACAATGCCCACCACTGAAGTACCAATAATCCTCACCATAGTCTAGTTTTTGTTTTTAGAGATTATAAGCTGAACAACACACTCTAGTAAATTCCACAGTAAGCATACCAGGGAGCAGAAAGCACCCCCCCACACACACACACAGAAATAAAGGCCTCAGGTTATAGATGTGTTTATTGGTTGAGTGACCTTGATAGGTGGCTTAACCTCTTCCTGAACCATAAATATTTTAAATATGAGGACAGTAACTTCTCTGAAAATGAACAAAGACTTCCTAGCATTTTGCTTGACTCTCAATAAATAGTTGATATTATTCCATTTAACACCATTTTGTGAGTACCAAAATTTAAGATTATTAAATTTCATTATTTTAAAATTTAATAATTTATTATTAGAACTGTTTTTAGGGGCCTCCCTGGTGGCACAGGGGTTCTATGTGGGCATTTCTAAATTTTTGCTGAATTTTATGCAGACTGGCCAGATCTATGAATACTAGAGTTAATTTTATTATAACTATTTAGTAAAATTGGGTGAAGGAGGAGAAAACTAAGTTTCAATAATGTATTTTTTTGTGAACATCAAATTCTAGTCCTCTCAATCATTTTGTGAGATATTTGTTTGTTTTCTAACCTGCAAACTGGACAGGACCTTGAATTTTTTTAATATCTGTCTCTGATATTCCAAACTAAAATTATCTAGTTTTGTTTTTTGCCTAATCTTTTTGACTCAGATGACTGAAAAATTTCTGTAGCCCACACCAACCAGAAATGAAGAATTTGATAACTTCAGAGAAATTTACTATAATAACTTTGCACAGGCAAAGTTTTGGATACCAATCCTGCTTTAGAAAAGTAAAATGAAAATTTTATTTATGTGGAACATATTCAAGAGATCTCTAACTGTGGTGCATAATTTTGCTCCCCCGAGGTATGCTTATCCTCCTGACCAGCATTTACACTCCTTTAAAGCCGGGGGCTGGTGCTTCTATAACAGAGATCCAGAGGTGCTCAGTCACAGCCAACTGGGCCTTGCTTAGGCCCATATGATGTGCTGTTAACCACCCACAGCTTTTTAAAGCTCACAGGTGTCACCTGTGGGTAGAGACCAAAGAACAAGACTCTCAACAGGCAATACCTCTAGCTAATGGAACCTGAAAACCAAATTTCTCACCATACACAACTATTTTTCAAGGAGATTGACTAAATGTTTTTCTTTTTCTTTTCTTTTTTTATTCCTCTGATGATGAGGGGACTTGCTCCTATCAAAATGTCACAAAGCATGACTACAGGAGGAAAGCTTACTGACTGCCAGATTTGTCATATGCTCCATAGATCTACACCTTGGTAGCTTATCTGGGCTAGTACCCAATGCCATGCCCTTTCTTGACAAGCCTCCCACCAGCCTGACCTGTCAGATATAGTGAACGTGATGTCAAGGTGATGCTCCTTAACTCCCACTTGCCTCTATAATCTATAGCCAGCATGACCCTGCAGTCCCAGGACCCCTACATCCATCCCTTACCAGCCTGAGAGGGTCTACAAGCTCACACTGATGAACCATCTGAAAAGGTGCCCCCATAATGCCAACAGTTCCATCTGTACTTCATTATGTTCAAGTGGATTTTGGAAAGCCTGAAATACCATCTCAGACCCATAGTATTCTAGCATCCTTGACAAATTATACATAAAACAAACCTTTTTTTTTTCTCTAGAGTGGAGTCTGACCCATTTCTGTAGGGTGGACTCAAATGAATAGATAACCAGAGGTTCAAAGGAATTGCATTGGACAATTCATTTCACTAACAAATTTACACCTGGCCTTTCCTGTTCTCAAAAGATGCAAAAGATGCAGTGTAGCCTTACTTTTAAGGACAAAATCACACTCCCCACCCCCCCCCACACACACTTTCCTTCTAAAGTAGAATTCAACTGACTTTCTTATATCTTATCGATGGTAATCAGCTTAGAGTGGGTCAAGAAATGAAGACTCCTCAAAGGAAGTCAATCAAGATAAAAGCACATTTGACAGAAATGTAGTATAATCAAATGGGGGGTGGGTGGGAATAGGCCATGATAAAGTCAAATACACAAGAATAAAGGAAAAAAAATTTAAAATTCCAAGGGGACAAAAAATGGTATAATAAGATGTTCTGAATTTGTGAAGGGAAAGCAGGAAGAGCTAAAGGTGTCATCTTACAGAGTGTGGGATGGGGACTCAAAGGAGCCCAGATGAAAGGAGCAAAGCTGTAACAGTATTAAGTTTAAAAGATAACTAGTAGAAACTGTATCACTCTAATTGTACTTGGAAGGTAGAGTGATATCCAAAATGGACAAAATCGAGAACAAAGTTTAAGCAGATTGTTGGTGAAGAAGAGAGAGCAGGACAGGAGATTGTAGCTTTCTTAGCCTCTTATAGTATTCGGTTCTATTAAAACAATTCACTACATTACTTTGAGGAAAAAATTTCAAGCTATTGAATAGCTCATGACTCAGTCACATCCTAAATTCTTGTGCATAGAAACTACTCGCTCAATTAGATAAATTCAAACCCTTATAAGTGAATTTGAGGAGTTACTTTTTATTGGGAGGGGGGTAATTTCTATAGCCGAACTTCTCACAGACAATTTTGAGATAAAGACTATTAACTCAGATAATTTCAAAATCTAAAAGGAAATGAGGTAGGTGAAGGTAAAAAAAAAAATGGTCTTTGGTTTTCTTTGTTGTTGTTGTTAGTCTGAGCTCATAACTAATGAACTGCAATGACTTCATCAGTTATATCATTTTTTTCTGTGCTGATGACAGTTTAGAAGTGGACCAAAAGAAACCTGCAAAGTTAATATCCCTAGCCTTCGCCAACCTCAAGATTTTTTGCAGCTGGAGATTCACATTGTTCAACAGAAATGTTCAACCCAAGCATATGGAATTCATTCGTGTCAACTCGTGCTTTTTAAGAAGGTTATTCTTTATTTAAAATACAAAACTCTGTTAAAAGAGTACTTCAGAAGAAGTGAAAGTCCTCTCCTTTCTATTCCCTGCCAACACTCCTCAAAATTCTGCCCGGTCTAAGAAACTGAAAAGGAACCGCTTTCTTACATCCCAAGTATCTCTTCATTCCATATGCAAAAACTTCAGGGTACTCACAAGATAACAGTCTCCAGAAAAATGAGTAGAGACTTAATCTTCTGATTCCAGATGTGGGCCAAAGAACACACTACTATTTATTTAAAACACCTTCTCCCTATACCATATGTAATTCCCTAGGGGAAAAAAATCTTCTGATGCTTCTCCAACACTCACTAGTTAGCTCCCTAGGGAACTAAGTCTCCAGAGATGGAAGTCTTACTGCTCTCTTTTTTCTCTTCCTATATTCTATTCTCAATCCAAAAGTAAATATGCTGCTCCTCACCTGATTCAAGGCACTTATCTCTGGGCATACTCTCGGAATTAGGTTATTCTGAAGGTCTAGAGTCCTCAGGTGAGTGAGTTTCTCCAATGCTGAGGGCATCTTTTTCATCTTCTTCCCTTGCAAGGTAATGATCCTAGTGCTTTTACCACCATTCAATGCCCTTACTAACAACTTCTCAGCCATGGCTTAGTAGCAGAAAAGGGAGATGGGAACTATAGAGATTAAGTTCTTCATTATATATCCTTAGAACCTTTAACCACAGAATTGGGGTGTCATGGAAACAAAAACATTCTGAAATCTATTTGTTAAAGCTGGGGGAGAAGCATCAGATAGTTTCATATGTAAAAGGAAGGGAGGGAGGGAAGATAGTGGAAACAACAGAACTGGTTCAGTCATAAGCTGAACTACAAGAAGGTTTGCACAAAGGAGTTTATTCTATGAGGCAGCCAGCAAAGTAATGAGCAGGGTTAACCTAAAAGAAGCCAGTTCCCTTGGAGGTGGGGGTACAGTCATTTCACAGGATGGAAGGAGTGTAAGCTGTTGCTGGACATGAATGGAATGAGGAGATTTGCACTCAGGTTTTGAGGAGGTGGGGCAGTATGGACTCATGAGCTACTGTTACTTCTTCAATGCCCACCCTTACCTTATCAACCTCACAGGGCACAGAGAATTTTCTTAAAGATGTAACAGTTTTCAAGGTTCCAAATCACAAGGACTAGTGGGAGTTGCAGGAGAAGGGAAAGAATATATACTAAACAGTATTTAGTACTTAGTCATGTTTAACTTTTCTAACAAAAAGTATAAGCTATAGGTTGGGTTGGGGGGGTGAGTTCTGGGTACAATAGCTAATTGCAAGTTTGGGGCAGGAAATGTATAAAATGAGTCTAGGATGTTTTATGCCAGAGACATGTAAGTTATCAAAGATTAATGAAACTACATCAAAAGGGCAGAACGTTCAATTTCCAGAGCCCAATTCTGATTTAAAATGGGAAAATTTAAAAATTAGAATGGATGGAAATACATTAAAATCTAAGCATTCATAATGGTATTTTGAAAATAAGCTTGATGACATTGGCACTTGCTTCCATATCTGCACATTAGTATGAAAATTGAAAAGGAAAAAAATCAAGCAATTATTCTACTTTTCCAACACTAGTGAATTCTAGTGTAATCATTAATATAAAATTCTTACTCATAGAAGAACTGAAGGTAACAAATGAAAAAGAAAAGCATATTTAGAAAAATCACCATTTTTAAATTGTAATAAAACAATGGATCTACACGAAGACCATAATTAGATGATAAAAGTATTAAGCAAAAAACTGAAGAGGAACTCGGCCCTCCCTGGTGGCGCAGTGGGTTAAAGCACAGCATTAAGAAGCTAAAACCACTTCTACATGAGTTCGATTCCCGCCTGCCCCGGAGGTGACCACATGGCATGGCAGACCTCTCCTGACCCGCCCGCTGCTCCCCTCAGCAGTGTACTTCGTCAATCTGCCTGTTCTGCTCCCAACTCTGTCTCTGGTGAAGCCTCTTGCCACCCCTGAGCCTCTGGCCTGTACCCCAGTTCTGTATGTACAAATAAATAAATCTTTTAAAAAAAAAACTGAAAAGGAACTATGTCAGAAATTAAGCTAATAATGATAATAAATTTTAGCATCATTAAAATTGAGACAATAACAAGTTTTAAGTCTCATGATGTGAAGAAATATAAAGGACCATACCACCTAAGAAAAATCCTTGCTTGAAAATCTAATCTGAATGCAATCATGCTTCTAGACCTAACTACCATTTACAGAAAATATAAGGGCTAAAGACCAAATTAAATTTATCTCAGGAAAGCAGTCAGCCAAATTTAGAACATCAAAAATTCTACAGGGCAAACGACATACGTTTCACCAACACATCAAAGCATCAATAAGGAGAAAGGGAAATTTATAGGATAAATGAGACTTAAGAGAAGTAATAGTCAAATGCATTGGGCACCTTGATTAGCTCCTGATTTGAATAGAAATTTTATGGAGTCAATTGGAGACACTTGATTATGCCTGGTAGTAACAGAATTACTAATTCCGTTGTGTATATATAACACCACAGTGGTAGTATTTTTTAAAAAGTATACTTAATATATTGAAAAGCATCTGAAATATAAGGTGAAATAATGTCTTGTTTGTTTTAAATCTGGGGGAAAAAAGTAGATGAAACATTCTAAATAAGGTTAACAATCTAGTATCAATTATTGATGCTCAATAATAAATAGCAGTTACAGAGGGATCCATTATACTATTCCCATTTTGCGTGTATTTGAAATTTTCAAAATATTAAGACAAAGGCAAAATGAAGAGGGAAGGATTTGATGCCAGTGGTATTTATTACTATCAAGATCCCATGTGTGTCCAGTTATGAGACTGTTAGGCATTTGTGTTACCTATGTATGTGCCACATTTAGATTGCAGATTTCCAAAAACTTTCATACTAATATTATGCACAACATTGAAAGTATTTGGATCACAATTCAATCATTTCTTTGTAAAGTGATTAAAAGATCACTTTATTCAAAAACTTATTCATCAAATAATTTAGGAATATCTTCTATCTTTTAATGTGCTTGGCAAGAAGAATGAACTAAAAAGACAAGTCTCTCCTGGATTAAAAAGATATGATACATATACGCAATGGAATATTAGTCAGCAATCAAAAAGATAAACTCATGCTTTTTGCAGCAACATGGATGGAGCTGGAAGGGACCATGCTTAGTGAAATAAACCAAAAAGAAGAAGAACAATACCAGATGGTTTCACTCATAGCAGGAGCATAAAGGACTGGTGGGAAAGAATAATAATAATGAACAACTATATACCAGAGACATTTTATGGGGGTGGAATAGGATCAAAAATGGGGGTGGGGAGAGAACATGGACTATGGTGATGGCACAAGGGTGATTTGGTGATGGGAAGCCCACAGGATTACAACTGAGATGGAAAAAGGTACAAAATGATGTAAAAATAAATTATTACATTAAAATTTTAAAGAGACAAATCTCACAATTAAATTTAACTCTAGTAGGGGGAGAAAAACAGTCAAGTAAATATAGTGTGCTATGTGGTGTTAATTATAAGGAAGTTAAAGCAAGAAAAACCTTGTGTAAGAACTGAGGGATTGGTAATATTAGATAGCATGACCAGAGAAGACCTTGTTTCTATACCAAGACCTCCAGTAAGTGAATAAAGCAGTATGAAACTGAAAGAAAAATCATTAAATTTATAAGGGATATTGTAATAAGCATCGTTGCATCCTTATAGTGAAATATTAAGAGGTGTTGATTAACAGTGGCTGCTAACTGCTAAAATAGTCACTCCCAGTGACTTAATCACTGTTCTTTGTCTTAGTTCTTCCACACTCACACTGTTTGTTTCCTAAGATGCTGTTACTATCTAAATAAAATGACCATAAGACATTTTTTTAATCTCATGGAAACTTCTGTGGCCAGCATCACAGTTCACACTCAAACATTGATTATCTGTTACTGACTTAAGGAGTAAGTAAAAAGACCATTGCAATTTGATACTATAACCTATTAATTTGCTTAACCTAGAAAAATCTAGTAAAATTTCAAACACTCATGATTTTCTTTTTCTTTTCTCCCAACATCCAATCATTCCTATTAACATGACCTATTCTATCTATGGCTGGGTACTAAAGCCTTAGGGTAGCATTTACTTTAGTCATAAATCTATGATTTGAGCAGAGCTAGGACTGCTTGTCAATGTTCCTCTTGGCCTTAGTCAGGGTGATTTGAGGGGTACCACAGAAATCACCTACTGATTCTTTCACTGAGATCTGGTCGTAGGTGCAGAGTACAGATAGGGAGCCCAGGGCAGTATGCCAGAGGCTGCCTGTGGCGTTTCCCATGTACCTAGGGCTTCCCCCCTTCACCGTGACTTAGTTCTAAGAGCAAACTGTCAAGAGAGAAAGTGTCAGAAGTCCTGAATTTATCACTTCTGTCGCATTATCTGTTACTAAAAACAAGTCATGAAGATACAAAGCAGCAGGGGCTTTAGAACTGGTCAAAGACTGGCCCTCCCTGGTGGTGCAATGCGGTAACACGCAAATGAGTTCAATTCCCCCACCAGGAGGTGACCCAACAGCAGACCTCTCCTGACCCGCCTGCTGCTCCTCTCAGCAGTGTACTTCGTCCATCTGTCTGTTCTGCTCCCCACTCTGTCCCTGTGAATCCTCTCACTACCCCTGCATCTCTGGCCTGCATCCCAGTTCTGTATGAAATAAATAAATCTTAAAAACAAACAAAAAAGAACTGGCCAAGGACTGTAACGCTAACAGTTACCCTCTGAGTTCTTCAATTGCTCGTGCAATTAATTGCAAGACTACTCAGGTGCAGAGAACAACATACTGGGATTTATTTAACAAGCAATGGGTTACTGAGGCCAAAAATGGCCGCTTACCTCACCCAAAGCGGTGTCTAGGTTTTCAAAGTTCTGTTTTCAAAGGCTCCCATCATGGCATCCTCTCCTCACTGCGGACCTGGAGCACACAGCAGCCAGACTACAGGTCAAGGTCCAACTCACGAAGCCAAGAAGACAACAGGAGATTCTCACCAGAGCTGCTGGGATGCCCCTGCACAGCACCAGGCAAGCAAAGCTCAAAATCGCTCCAAGAGCTGAAAAGACCTGAGCGTAGGCCACACTCACACAGCTCCGCAAGGTGCCCAGCTCCCGGTCTTCACCTTCCCTGCCATGCTTAACAGCAGCAAAAACAGGAACAGTTTCAGTCGCTCAGTTATTTATTTGCAAAGCCTCCAAACTTTTCCTCTTTGAATTGGTTGCGGGAACCTCTTCACCTTCTTCAGAGTTTCACAACCGCCTTCTGGAACATCAGTATGGTAGAGGCAAAAATCACTAACCCGGGATTCTGAAAACATCAAATCCTGAATGCTGAATACTTGAATCAGCTTCTGCTGCCCCTTATATTTCTTACCAGAGTCTCCACCCCAAATGTGATACTTTGTTCATGCTTTCCCTGGTGCTATCTAATTCATCAGCACCTCCCTCCAGGGTTCACCACCTGTAACAGTCTTTGCCTTCAGCCAGGGCTATAAAGAGACCCGTCATATTCAGGGGAAGAGGAATTAGTCCACCCCTTGATGGCAAGTGAGCATGCCTTAA